TTCACATTATATTTTAGTAAAATATATATTGAAAAATGAGCGAATCAGAATCTGAATATGAATACGCTGTCGGAAAGCGGCTCACAATGAAGAGAGAAGTCGTAAGTGTGTGATAAGTAGAAAAAGGATATATTTTATACTTGAATAAGTAAGTGTTATATAGCTTACAATCCCATGTAAATGATAAATATCAATAAAACATTGTTATTTTCAATTCTCGATTGCATTCGAGTGTGAAAAATTATAGCAACATAAAGTACAACGCCGCTCGAATTATCTCGAGTGTGCACAGTTTGGCCAGTTTAGCGCGCTCGAGTTAACTCGAGCGTGCACGTTAAGGGGTTAATTAATCGCAATGAGATACTTGTACGTTTCGTTTCTACAACTAATTATAAGAAATCAGCAATAAATCGGGTGTCTTAAATGACAATTTCGAGCAGTGTGCTTTAGATTAGGTCAGACAGAAAGACGTCGGGGACAGTGCCAGCGATCCTCACCTATTCTCGTAGAGAAGATAGGACTTCAGCACGGACTGTATCGTGGTAATGGTGTCGAGGACGATGGTGCCGTTTCCCGGCAGCATCTCGAGCTTCTTCTTCCACACGACATCCCTGAAGTGAAGCAGCGCCAGCTGCACCTGTCGCACGTGGATGTGCAAGTCTCGGATGGGGTTCTTCTCGGTGGTGGCCGCCGCGGTGTCGGTGCAGGCGGGGGCGTTTTTGTCCCTAGGTGTCCGTGGCGACGAGGGTGAGGCAGCCCTCGTGGCGGCCCCGCTACCACCGCCACCGCTCACGCTGCCAGGTGAACGCATCTGGGAGAGCTTCTCCAGGAAGTCCTCCTTGAAGGAGCGCGCACGACGCGCTAGTTTACCGCCGCGCGCCTTCCCGCTGGACCGCTCCTCTACTTCTGCAACAAACAACCGTGTTTGCTTCGTTAGAGAACGCAAATATTTGCCGGCTCGAGTGCATGCTGTATATCTTACAATGGAACCGTGAAATCGGTTAACCGTACGAACATCGATTCGTGAACATGCATGTGGAACACTGGAGCAACGACGACGTGTGTTCTAGGTCCTTTTTTCCGAATTTTGATCATTGTTTAGTCGACTGTAGATCTATAAACATAGTACGGAGTTTCCATGTCAATTGCAAGACGTGGGAAATACGTAGAAAATTGTTTCTTGCCTTAATCGTCTTAGTAAATTAATAATAGATTATGAATCTTTAGGTAAATGAAAAAGTTTCTGTATTAATTGCAAAACATGGGGAATAAGTAGAACGTTGTTTTTTGCTTTAATAATTTTAGGGAAATGGATCTTTTGGCAAAATAAAAAATTTCTTTGTCAATTGCAAGAAATGGGAAATAAGTAGACGTTGTTTCTTGTCTTAATCATTTTAAGTCAGTTGATAATAGACCGCGAATTTTATGCATTTACAGCACAAGTGGCTAGATGAAATACAAAATTGTGAAGGCACTAGAAGTATTTCAAAATATCATCATATTATTGTTGATGCGTGAAAACTATTTGTAAAAGGAATAGATTTTTGTTCGTTCCCTGTTTCTTACAATTGAAGCATCGATAATTTTTTCAAATGTTTTAAAGGTTTCATATTGTGGTCGTTGTAATTCGTTGTATGTATATCGCCAATAATTACGATATGTATGCCGTCTTTTGAAACAACTTTTTCGACATAGAAATAAATATAATTGTCAAGAGAAAGAAGCTATAACTTCATGCATTTACAGCATATCTTCTTTTTTTTTAAATTCTGTACGGAAAAATATAACACAAGCTTCCACAAAGCAATAAATTAACACAAATATCTCCATAAGCTGAATAAGTACAAATATCTTCATAAACTTCGAGATTAGTTATTAACATCCACTTATTTCAAAGCTAATTTAATGTCTACTTTACTCGATTTCTCTTAAAGTACTCGCAAAACAATTTTACGATTCATTCTTCTTACTCAGGCTAATTTATTATTCTGTCTATTTGTGGATGAATTGTTGTTAAGTGTTTCGCAGAAAATTTATTTTTGCCAGTGCGCGTAACAACACGGTCTGACTTTCGCCGCAGTAACGAGCTAAGTTTCCTGCTTTTAGGCAAAGGAGTATTCTCGCGTCCTCAAGGAATTATGCGAGGTTCAATTTCGAAATCCTTTGCAGGCGAAGGACAAACACTGCGGGGTTATACTCGGCCAACTCTGTAAACGTGTTCATCTTCAGGGTTTAACTTTGCTTAACTCGGTTTAACGTTAAGTGACAGCAACGACGCACAGCTATGGAACGGGTTAGCATCAGTTTTAGCTGCTCAGGAAATTCCGCATTTTTTAAATTTATTAAATAACTGATTCTTTTCAGAGTTCTGGCTATTAATTAAAAAAAAGTATCTTATTATCCATACCCTCCAACTATCCAATGTTTCATAATTAACCATATTACCATGATATGGTTTAAAAAATTGTTTAACTTTCTATTTTTCCAAATTTATAACTAATTCTTACTTATTTAACTTTCGATCTCATTTTACTTCTTCAAGTTTAGAACTAATCCTCATTTCTTTAACTTTCGGTCTCATTTTATTTGCTCAACTTTAAAAGTAATCCTTATTTGTTTAACTTTCGATCTCATTTTATTTGTTCAACTTTAAAAGTAATCCTTATTTGTTTAACTTTCGATCTCATTTTATTTGCTCAATTTTAGAAGTAATCCTTATTTGTTTAACTTTCGATCTCATTTTATTTGCCCAACTTTAAAACTCATTCATATNTGTTTTCAACTTTAGAGCTAATGCATATTTTTATAACTTTAGAACAAATCTTTATTTCTTTAATTTTAGAACTAATACAAATTTCTGTAATTTTAGGTTTCATTGTATGTTTTCAACTTTAGAGCTAATGCATATTTTTATAACTTTAGAACAAATCTTTATTTCTTTAATTTTAGAACTAATACAAATATCTGTAATTTTAGGTTTCATTGTATGTTTTCAACTTTAGAGCTAATGCATATTTTTATAACTTTAGAACAAATCTTTATTTCTTTAATTTTAGAACTAATACAAATATCTGTAATTTTAGGTTTCATTGTATGTTTTCAACTTTAGAGCTAATGCATATTTTTATAACTTTAGAACAAATCTTTATTTCTTTAATTTTAGAACTAATACAAATTTCTGTTCGAATCGAATTTCAAATTTCTAATTTTGAATCGAATGATTTAGTTTCAGAAAATTTTATCTAATAACCTAGAATGAATGATTAGTCAAACTACATCATCTAGACTTTCTCATTACAGAAATTTCTCAATTTATAAAAATATACAAATCCGTCTGTAGAAGTACACATTTTTTCATACAAGTACGCACATAATCGTGTTTACAGTTACATGGACAGTATGAAATGGCAAGAAGTAAACACGCTATACACATTTCACTGAAATATCCTAGTATGAAAGTACAGCTGCGATGGTGGTGTAATGGTCAGCATAGTTGCCTTCCAAGCAGTTGATCCGGGTTCGATTCCCGGCCATCGCAGTGACATTATTTTGCTAAAATTTTAATGTAGACTTAGAAAGAATATTTTTAACTTAACCTATTCATTTATATTTCGCTAATATTATTTTATATTTTATTATTTATTTTAAATTATGTGGTTCTATATTTATAAATCTCTAAATATGGCACTTTAATGGACGAGGCTTTAAAAGGTTTCAAAAAGATAATACTCAAAAAATTTTCAGAGTAACAAATACGAACAATTTATTCCATATATTGAGTATGTATGATACTACATTTCATTTATAGCAGATTTCACTGTGAATGCCGCTAATAAAATCAAATGTAATCAATATTAATTAAATTACTCATCAATGTAAAAGATAATTACCATTGTTACATTTGTAAATCATGTTCACTGTTTTGTAAATCAAATTAACTCTTCTGTAGGTTTAGTATACCTGTTTGAAAATTAAGTTGGCTTATTTCTAATTATTTGTAATAAAATCCTTATTCAATTTAAAAATTAAATAAGTGAATGCCCATATTGCTCTGTGAAAGATTTATATTTTATTTTGCAAAAAGATGAATTTGATTTGCAAAAGGTTTAATTTGGAGTGCAAAAATTTCAGTGCAATCTACGAAATGACTAATTTGGAGTACAAAATCTGTATCTGTTAAGAAATTAAATTCGTTTCAATTAGGTTTTATATAACATAGATCTTGATCCGCAAAATTACGAAAATCGACTACTGTTCATCGTGTTTCCCCGCAAAAAACGGAATATCAACTGCTCTGACAGCGCTTCGAGTTATTTTGCAGCGAGAAAGCATTTCTGGCGGGAGCTTTCGCAAAGCTAATTCACACGGCGATCATGGCAATTGGCCGTAACTCTGCAGTCGATTTCGGATATCGGATCGCCGCTCCGGGCGCAATAAGCGGTGCAGCGGTGCAATGGTCTCTCGCGGTGCAGCCGATAACAGGAAGAAATACGAACTTCTCCTGGTCATTGTTCTGAACGAGTTTACCCCGTGGCACTCAGGAACACGTCGATGCGCACGTGCTGCATATCGCCTTTCCTTTCCATTCCTTTCCTCTCGACTCCTTTTTCTTCGTTTCGCTGGACTCATATCGGGCGCACGCTTACAAATTAAAAGTGCAACGGCACCGGTGTGCCCGACGTGCGATACGAGCCGCGTAGCTTCTCCTTTATCGTTGTCCAGCCAGTAAATCGTAAGTGCCATTATTTTCTTCCGGTTTATTGTCGTGTCCGGTGGCGCGTGTAACCCTGTCGCCGAACAATGGAGTGCCTTTCTTCTGGAAAATTTTACCCTTTGCTCTTTGTTTCTTTTCCTTTGCCCTTTGTTTGTCTTTCCTTTGCTCTGGAAACCTCCGGAATCCAACTCCACTTCATGTCATACCGTTTCGAATTCTTTTCGAGTATTATAATATTAAAATTTTTTCATGTTATTATATTAAATTCTCTTGTTGCTCTCGAAATTTGGCGATCGACGTATTTTATGTACCAAGATTTCTTCTATTATACTGATATATTTTCATTATCTCCTTATGCTACTACTCAAGTAATTTATAAGAACAGTGGGGAATTCCGTCAGACGATTTTTCAATTTTACGAGGGAAACTATTTATTTCGTGTATTTATGTTCTAGAAAATATTTAATTTCTGTTAATCCATTTGTAATATATACAAAAATATTAATAATTCCAACACACAAAATTTATAAAAATAGTGGTAATTTCGTTAGAGGATCTTTCAATCTATAAGAGAAAATATTTATTTCGTATCATGTCCCAAGGAATATTTAATTGCTGATAATTCGTTTGTAACGTATAAAGAAAAGTTAAGATTGGTATACTCGTCAAAAACAGCTGACTGGTTAAGAGGGATATATGTATCTATACTTCGATATTTTTGATTAAATTGTATACTTTATAAAAGTATTGTATTTAAATAAAATATGAAGAAAATCAAGCATATATACGGTATAGTCGCAATAACTTACACACTTTACAAAGAAATTGCAACAGCTAACTGGTTAGGAAAGATTGATCTTCATTCTGTGATTACTTGCTCATTGCGAATACCAATAAACCGTTCACAATTTCCGTAGCATGTAAGGACCGTTAAAGTTCGTTCATTTCTTCAAGATCGCGGCGGTGTAATTAAAACGAATGTCGAGCCAGGTGCCAAATTATTCCCATTATTTAACGAGCTTTGAGCAGCTTATGCGAATCCGTAACTCATTAACGGGTTACGGGGAATCCAGGGCCGAAACAAATTACACGGGATTTGCACGGTATGGTAATCAACTTCGGCAAGAACAAATTGCGTTCGCAGGAGAATAATTATTCGCGGGCAAAACTCAAAGGTATTCGTTAAAATTCG